CTATTTTCTTCCAACCAAATGAGGCCAAAAATGCAAGGATTCAAAATTAAAGTACACAAGAAGTATACAACTAACAAAAATAGAAGACCGTGTGATTTTAAATACACAAAAGAAAATGAAATGGTTAACAGAGTAAGAAATAAATTGAATTTTGATTGTGCCATATTTCATTATGTACCTTCTCATCACTTGAAACAGCAGGTTGTTGAAATGATTCGTCATCCTCCTGCCAATGCTTTTTGATGAACCGCTTCAAAATGAGAGCAGCTAGGTAGTAGGTGTTAAAAATTCACAGGACTAAAACCCTTGCATTGTATTAATACAAAACAATCTAGAGATGACCATGAAAATATAACCCCTCCTTCTTTCAAATATTCAGGAAAAAGAAGGAAACAGCAAGACATCTTTTTTTTCTCTCTTGCTTCTAATAGTATGAAAGAAATAAGATGTTCAGGGATATAATCTGCAGACCTTTTATTCAAATGAAACAACAAAATAGAAAAATAATACACTAAAGAAATATTTGACAGCTTCTTTCCAAGTAATGGGTGTGACATAAGTGAATCTATCAACAGGAAATCAAATGAGGATGTATTGGAACTCATTAACAAATAATATAAGAGGTAGTAAATGAATTAATTAAATAAATTCAAAAAAGATATCTGACGCAGTCCAAATGGAAGATCTCTATTGGCAACAACCTTCGATAATCCCTTGCCAAAACCTTTAGAACAAGACAAGAAAAGATGGCAATAAAAATCTCTATAATACACAAGAGAAATAATATAACTAAATGAGGGTTTTGAAAGGGATTTAATATTGCCATCCATGACCATGATTTTTCATCTCTATAAAAGTTGAAGTTACTTTCTAGATTAAGAACAAATCAAACCTACTAGGCTGTTAATAAAGACTTTATTTTTATAAAAAAAACCGTGTAAACTGGAGAGAAATTTCACACTATACACACACAGGTGCGTGCATAAGTAACCTGACATCTTAGCTGTCACTTTGAGAGGAGGAAATTTGACATAAAACAAGCTATCATACAAAGAAGCAAAACTTGAAACAACTTAGTTTCAAGTAAAATGCAACTAAAAGCACATATAGAAACAAAATGATGTCATTTTCTATTCTAAAACCAATAGACAAAAGTACCTGTCATTGTTGCCCTTATTCAAGGTCTTTATTTGATTTTTTACAAGGATGTTGCATAGATAGATGGAGAAGAGGCTTTACAAAAAGCAAGCTATCATTTATTCTTTTTATGATTTATTTGTTGTTTTGCAGTTCAATTTTTTCCCACTTTCTATTAAAAAAAAACACTGAAGCACCTACCAATCTGAGCCTCCATTGCTTGTACGTGAAAGCAAGGGAGTTACTTCATTTCTTTTTAAGAAATTTCTTTTAAATATCAATTTTTTTCTTTGTAACCTATAATCCTGTGAGTGACTGCACAATTTTTCTCAACTCCTTTAACTTATATTTAGAGAGGGGGGGGGGGGGGCTGCAACAAAAGATCACTGGTTTATAATTACTGCCATTAGAAGTAGTTTTCTACCTTCTATTGTTCTGGAGCGTTTTTAAAGAAAATTTAATGAATTATGTCGACAAGTTTGACAATTAAATCTCCATTCCTCGACACTTTTTTTCTTAAAACTTCACTATAAAGCAAACCGAAAAGGAGAAAACAAGTTATGATTGATAAAAAATGAACAAAAGAATCAAAATGTAACACTAAAAGTAACATCATCATGCAGTTTGCTATCTACTAACGTTTCTTTAATATCACTTAACAAAAAAGTTGTTCTTCTTCCATATCTAAACGCGATTATCAAACCAACTAGTAAAGATTAGAAAGTTTAAAATTACGACGTAAACAGGCGAATATCAGGCATTTCAAAGGCAATGAAGTTCAAGAAAAGAAAAAGAAGCGGGAATTCTAAAAAGATAGAGAGGAACCTGGTTGAAGAGCGGCTTGATCAAGGGAAGCTTCGGCAAACGAACGGACTTCCTGATTAGGATCGAAAGTAGCAGATAAGCAATTAATTAGCCATTGCTGATCTTCATCCACTGCTACATTCGCCATCACTCGGGAAAAAAAGAAGAAAAAAGAAACCCTAAATTTTCGCTTTACTGATATTCTTTTGAGATCTTGGTCTTCGTTTCCCGCTCTTTATAACAAATAAGGAAATAAGGAAAACAAACCGACTCAGGTGTGAATAGTGGCAAAATTGGAAATTCATTCCATGTTTCTCCAACGGATAATTTTTAGGGTTTTGGGTTTTTCATTTTAATCAAGGGAAAAAAACTAAAAACATTTTCTGTTCTCCTAGCCCAGCCCATGTTTCTATAATATAAATACTACTCTCGGCCTACGGTCCAACAGTGCTGGACCTCCCATATTTTAAGCAATGTATTTAATTGAGTTTTAATTTGATTAGTATTGTTTGGGAAATAAGGTCGTGTTTACAAATCTATTAAGTAATGGATTTTTAATATTGTTATATCTTTAAAGATGATTTTCATAAATTTTTAAAACTTCGTTAAATTATATTTATTAAAATTATCAGCTCTCCACTTATTAAAGTCTTCAGATAGATTTCTCGTTTTATTATAATTTTTTACTAACCTACACCCTTTTAATACATATTTTTGGTCGATTGCATAATGTAGATAAGATCTCTGACATACCAACTTGATGTGTCAAAACAAAATCTAAACTCTAGTTACCAGATCTGCCATCTTACAAATAGACGTAGATATCCCATGATTGATTCTCTTAAATACAAAAACATCGATAAACGACTTTTATTATCAGAACCCTCGGTATTAAGCCTAAAATTTACTATTGATAAAAGTATAAAAAATAATTTAAAATCATAATTCAAGTAATTTTTAATATATTTTTTATAAAATTTAATTGTTTAAAATATTTAGAATAGTCCTTCTCAAAGTTTAAAATTTTTAACTTTTGAAAAATTAATAATAAATATATTTAGTGGAACGGCTGGAATATCAAATGTGAGATTTCTCAACGATAATGACGTGCTCCAACTTTCCTTTGGATGCAGTTTGATCCTCTCCTTGCTAAATTCATATTTAGTGTATTTTTCTTCTAATTATTAGATGATTAAAATTATCAAAAAAAAGAATTAAATTTAAATTTATTAAATAAATTAAAATTAAAATTAAATTAATAATAAGAGTTAAATATATAATTATATTAAATTTTAATTATCACGTCAGTTTTTTCATCAAATATTAACGGTAAAGAGTTTGAATGACAATATTTAAATAATTAACTATTATGATTGATAAAATTGAAAGATTGGTGATCAAAGTAAAATCTGCATCTAATATAAGTGGTCATGACTATAGTATTTCCAGAAAAGTTACCCCAAACAATATAAAAGTATACGCATTTTGTTGATAACCTTGGAATGCTAAATTGTTTGGTGTCTCGTGTCATTGTTCTCGACATGTTTAATCAATTATTAATTAACTTAAGTTTTTTCTTAAAACGTGTCGGTGATTTAATCCATTGACTGGTTATATAATTTACATAGAACTTAAATTAATATGCCAATAACCTTTTTTAACCAATGATTAATATTAAATTTTGATATAAGATTATATTATTTTATTTATATTCTAATATTATATATACGCAAGATATAATAAAAGATTTAATCTTATACTCACCTATTCCTTGGGTGATATTTGATTACAAGCATAATCTTAAGTTTTTGACTAATTTATATTTTATTTGTATTATTTTAATTAATTTAACTGTTTAAATAAATTTAAATAAAAGTTAATTTTTCGTTTTCTAATAGTGAAACTATAGATATCAGGCTGTAAAATTATTTTAAGTTATTTAATATTATTTAAATAATTTAACATTTTATCTTATTGAATTAATTAATTGTTAATTACAAATTTTAAAATTTTAAATTAATTTTTTTGTTATAATACAAATAAATAAAATAAAATCATTTAATATTTTTGGGTAAAGTACACATATGATTCATTAACTATAAATATTGTTTTGTTGATTCTTTGACTATTAAAAGATATAAAGTGATCTCTTAACTATAGATTGTTGTTTTGTTGAGTCCACTGACTATTAAAATTTATAAAATTGTGATCTGACTATTCTTATGTTCCAAACTCATCCTTTTTTATTAAAAGATTGATGGTCGTCTCAGCTAGACAAAAACTTGTTGACTGAGATATAATAAAATCATATCTCAAAATTATTTGAGATGTATTTTTTGAATGGATTCTCTATTTATATTATGTCGTTAAACTAGTACTTGAAACATTATATCGTCGAGTCAGTGTTTAAAAGTAACGTCAGTGTCAATAGACATCATTAAAATATGATTTTATTATATCTGAATCATAACTTTTTCAACAAAAAATATGAATTTAAAACATATAAATAGTCGATTGACCATTTTATAACTTTTAATAATTAAATGACTTAACAAAATATTATCTTATAGTTAAAGTATCATTTTATACTTTTTAATAGTATTTAAAAAATAATACCCTAGGGAACTATTAGTATATTTTACCCTAGTTTTTTTTATAAATTTTTGAATCACGTGCATGCATCTGACTTTATAACTTGCTGTCATCATAAGTCTATGCATCATCCCTAAAGTGAATAGAAAAAGGAAGAATCAAAATACAGTTCCCTATGATGTTCATCAATGGCGATGTTTCCCAGGGAACTGTCACCCCCATTCCCCGACTAAACTTTACAAATCTTTTTGACTTTATTTGCTGTCATTATGATTCCATCTTCCTTTAGGCTTCATGAAACCACACACCAAATACGATTCGAAAAACTATAAATAAAATATAATATAATCTATAACATATATCATTAAATTTTAGGATTCATATTAACTTCAGGGATTCACATGACAAGTATGATTTGAAGAACAGTACTCTTTATCTTATTACGAAAATCATCTTCTCCAAAAACTCTCTTAAACTGAAAAAAAATGACAAAGAGCTTCATTATCTTGATCCTGGCTTTACTTCTGCTATCGACTGCAAAAGCCAGGCCTCTTCCGCAACAAGCTGATGATCTTCAGAATCTACCATTTTCTTCAACAGTAAGTTAATTTCTTTTTCTGGGAAAATTAATCCTGGTTTTCTTAGTGACCATTTTCCTCCGGGATTTCTTGCTTATGTCAACCATTTACAGGAATCGATGAGTTTCATTGATGGGGAGTGCGGAGGTTTAAACGATGAAGAATGTATGATTAGAAGATCATTGGCTGCTCATACGGATTATATTTATACACAAGAAAATGATGCCCCGTGATATTTTTTTCTGTAATATGTTCACGACTTAATAAGTGATCAAATCTTAATTTTATGTTTCAAACTGCTTCACTCTTGCTTGGTATATAGTAGTTGTTTGAATGATGAAGCCACTAATAGCAGCCACCTCCACCATTGTTTCTCAGTGCTATTTACTGTTCTTTGTCTGATTCATTTCTCAAAGTGAAATTTCTGTAACTAAAGTTGGTGGGGTTTCATAAAATGATGAATAGATAAAGGAATGATTGATTGATTGTTTGATTTGCTTCTGATGGATTATTACTGCTGCTGGTAGCCTGGTACCATTCTACGCCATGGATATGCGGCGAGAAGAGCTGCAAAAAAAAGTCGTTTTCAAACTATGTAAAATGATCTGTTATATTGTATCTTTAGATATGACGTTTCTCCTCTCGAAAGATTTAGATAAACTCTTCGTCTATCGAAACTACTAAAAGATCTTGACTTCCGAGAATGAGAGGAACATTAACCTTCAGATAATCTTCAACGAATAAACAAGACATTTAAATAAGATTTTGATAAATTTACATGATCTATTAAAATAAAATTTAATATCTGATTATTAAATTTATCCAACTACTAACATACAAATAGCTATCTATAATATCTCTATATATCACTGTAACTACGGTTATTGTTTTTTATGGCATCTCAATAAAGCAAATTTACAGAGTTGGTAATGGATTGGTTTGTTGTCGACTCAGCTCTCAGGTAAGCGGTGTTGCAGGGAACCTCTTCCAGTTCCGTTAATGCGAGAGAAAAAGGGCTGCCGATTCCTACGTCGATCGCCATTCGGCGAAGCTCTGAGGCTTCTTCCTTGAGCCTTGCATTATCTCGAACAACTTGGTCATGGCACTCTGATACATGGTTTAACTTGTCTGTGATAGTCCGATTCTCGTTCCGAAGCCTGATCACCCGTGACCAAAGCTCATCGAGGTACTTTTGTTTTCGCATCCTCGACCGACGAGCGGATTCTCGGTTCGATATCATTCTCCGTTGTCTCCGCTCGTCGGCATCGGCTTCATCTGAAGTTGAAGTAGTACTCAAGGACCGTGCAATCAACTCATGAGCAGCCAGTGGGGATTGGCTGTTTGAGAACGTATTGAAATGGAAACTTGGGATTGTGTTTTGCATCATGTTAAAGTTGTCTGAAATCAGGATTTGGTTTTCTGGTGCAAGGTAGTTATAAACTCAGTGAACTCGCCGGGAAACATGGTTTTAGGTTCTGAAGTTGATATCTGAGGCTGATTAAGGGTTGAAAATTGTAGCAGTAACGTTTTTGCACCCATTGTTGAGCACTTGCAGGTTTTATAGGAAATATAAGGCTTATGAGGTACATAAATCTTGAGAGAGATATTGATCTTAATTTATTATTATTTTTATATTTAAATACTTATTAAATCTTTAATATTTTGAAATATAAAACATAAAAGTTCAGAAATGGAGTCTAAAGTAGTCAATTCCAGGAGAATTATTTCTTTGCTTAGAACTCCTACGGGAATAGAGTAAGTACAATATAAAGTTTAAGTTTGTTAAGAAAAGTTATCCTTCAATCTTAAATAGTTTATTAGTTTGCCATGAAAGTGCTGTATATCAGATAAGTTATGGAACAAAAACATTGAAGACAGAGTAAGAGTTATGTTACTGTCTACGTGTCGTTCAGTGCTTAATTTCTAGCTTTATTAAGGTCTGTCGTAATCCCCTAACAATGTGGAAACTAATGTTAATGTAGGTGCTTCAAAGACGTATTAGTTTAATTAGTGATCTCATGTATTATATAAAACTGTATTTTTTGTTGCATTCTCAGTTTGTCAGGCTTGATTAATCCGAATCGACTCATGTCGTACATTTACTTTTAGTAAATGAGTTTTTCAACGAAAATTTTCTACAAACATAAGACCCCAAACTCAAAATCTACTTAAACAATATCAAACTATTCCTAAAATTTTATAAATTCTCCTCAAATTTTATAAATTCTCCTCAAATTTTATAAATTAGTACTACTACCATAAAGTTTAACATTCTACAGTAATCAATCTCCATCCATAAGAATATGGATCAATGATGAAGCACCACTTCTCCCTGCCTATCCACGTACTCTTTATATACATAGTTCCTGTAGGAATGATTAAAGGGATTATCCAAGCAGTTCCAGACACAAGTCAGCCAATTCACTAATGACAAATACATAAACAATATACTCTTATCTTATATTATCTAAATTTAAAATAAATATGAAATATAAAATACGAATACTTTTAGAAAACAAGTATGAGATATAAAATACAAATAATACGTAGTGGTTCGTGGTGATGTGCATGCTATATTTACCATCTTTATTATTTTTATAGCCGAATTTTTATATTAAAAGTATGAATATTTAAAAAAAATATTAGAAATTTAGAAGATATGAAACTATAAAATATAAAATATAAAATATTTAATTTTTTAAAGATTCGACCTTCCTCTAACATATTCTCACTCTATCCCTAAAAACCTTTAAACCTAATTATAAAAAAAATACTGGCCTAAGCATGTCAAGATCAAAACTTCGCTGTCTCCATTATGGTTAACTAAACCATGGTTTATTGTATGTGAAATGTGGATCAAGTTATATCTAACTATGATCCCCTCATTTATGATATAGTTTCATCCATAACATCCCAAGAAGAGAAGAATCTTATTTGATGTTAAAAGAATTTACATACGTATCAGTAGTTAAATAGAATATTATTTTTCTTAGAGATTTTGAGTTCAAGTAAATATATTTGTATGATGTGTATGCATTATCAATAGTTAAGATGAATAAAGAAAAATAATTTTAATCACTCAGACTATTCGCCAAAGAAAAAAATTTATAAACATTTAGATTTTAATTCCAAATCAATTTGATAAAAAGTCATAGATGTTAGGATTTGAATCTTTATTTAAAAAAATTGGTTTATTTCAATTAATTTATTTAATATTTCGAATAAAAACATCTCAATATGTTCCCCCCAAGAATTACGAATGTTTTTTATGAAAATTAGAATCTTGTTAAATATGGACGAATGCATGTTATAGGTCGTGACCTCCAATTTTAATAGTTTAATTATATTTTAAATCACTGATAGTTTTGAAACTATTGAAATTAAGTCTTTATCTCTTTTAATTTTTCTAATTTAATTTTTATAATTAAGTCTATTGTGATGTTAGATTCCTGTCGATTATGGATGGATCGAAGAGGGACTATAGAGACAATTGTCCTATTAAAAATTTCAAATTATCATATATTTTAGAGAAAATAATATCATTGACAAAAAATACCTTATAATATACGATTTTAACCAATTTTTTTAGATTTGTCAAAATGACCAACTAAATCGCAATGCGATCGATAATTCGCAACGCGATCTCCGGTATCGCAAATCAGTTTCCAAATTCGCAACGCGAACTTCGACTATCGCAATGCGAACTTGGACTATCGCAATGCGAACTTAGACTATAGTCGAAGTTCGCATTGCGATTTACATATTCGCATTGCGATAGTCCAAAATCGCAACGACTGGTGGTATTGCATTTGTTTCTTAAGAATTTTCTCTAAAAAGATATTATTGGCGCGGACGTGTCGAAGACACGTATTACCACGACCACGACCCGAGACGAGACGATACGAGACGTCCGCGCGAATACTATCTTTTTAGAGAAAATTCTTAAGAAACAAATGCAATACCGTCGTTGCGATTTTGGACTATCGCAACGAACTTGGAATAAATCGCAACGCGAACTTGGACTATCGCAACGAATTTGGAATAAATCGCAACACGAACTTCGACTATCGCAACGAACTTGGAATAAATCGCAACGCGAAGTTGGACTATCGCAACGCGAACTTCGACTATCGCAACGAACTTGGAATAAATCGCAACGCGAACTTGGACTGTCGCAATGTGAATATGTAAATCGCAATGCGATAGTCGAAATTCGCGTTGCAAATCTGGAAACTGATTTGCGATACCGGAGATCGCGTTGCGAATTATCGATCACATTGCGATTTAGTTGGTCATTTTGGCAAATCCAAAAAAAATTGGTTAAAATCGTATATTATAAGATATTTTTTGTCACTGAGGTTATTTTCTCTATATTTTATATGTTTCTTACTATTACCTATTGATAATATATTTTCGTCCTTATATATAAGTTCATCTTCTCTCAAAATTTTAAAAAATTACCTTTTTAGTATAGATTATTTTGTGTCTTCCCACCAATAAACAAGGGAGAACGAGGCAAGAACATTGAGCAACCGGCGATGGTAAATCCCATGGTTGAAAACTTGAAATGGAATTATTTTTCTTTTTCAGATTGGCGAAAGCGTCAATATCATTGTTTCGAGGAAAGGGTTTTATCCAATAATATTTCCTTATTTATACAGCATAACTGCATGCTTTACAACTTTTTTATCATGATTTTACGGAATTTTATTTTTGAAAATGAAGTAAAACTAATTAAATTTTTGGGGAAAATATAATTTAAACATAAATTCTTAAAAATAAGTCACAAACATGATTTAAAAGATTAAAGGTTAAAATATTGGATTCTAACATCTGAAATCAGTAAATTCAGTTCATGATCTTGACAAATAAATCATACTTCGGACCTTTTTTACTACAGGAACTTTGTTTCTAATTCAAAGGAACAACCACCATTCCAAGATTCTACATTTTTCAGAGATGAAATATACAACGAAGGGACAAACAACACACACCAATCATCCCATGTTTAAATGGAAAGATCATCTTCCATTGCTGCTTTTGTTTATTGCTCTAATAATTTTGGGGGGGGGGGGAGAATAAATACAGATGATCCAGATGCTCTATTGAAGTTTCCATTCTTGGTTTAGACCACTTCCTCAACCATTTCTGTATACAGCTTAACTCAATCGGCCTAGTTTCAAGACCAGCGCCACAACTCGAACCACGAGGCAAAAAATGTGAAGGTGTTCTCCAGACAATTGATTATTGTTGTATGATATGTATAAAAATACCAACAGCATAATGATTGTAGTTGGCAAGCCTACTGTTTGTGATATTCAATTCAGAACTTACCCCTTAATTCGGTTGTTGCAGAAGGAGCTTTGCCTCTTCACAATCTCATGCCCATGGTCAAAGAATATATGATTCGATTAACAGATAGTTGCATCTGGATCAGGCTAGTTGAAGAAATAGGGGGATTCCAGAACTTCTCGAAGATCAAAGTCTCCTCGCACGGGTAATGCTGGAAAGTTTAATGAAGGGAAGGACTCCTGAAAGCTTTCCAACAACTGTAAGCACAAATTAAACCGTCATTTTTCAATCAGCAGTAAACTAACCAACAAACATAACAAGTGCATATTTCGGTAATTTGTTTTCCTCCATCAAATATATTTTGATATTTACAATGACACCCAGATACACACGACTCTTCATGTTATGTACACAAATATATAACCAGATTGTGATATTCAACTCCGTCCGAGCACTAGGATGTCCCAATATGCCAATTCTGTAATACCTTTTTCCATTAATAAACATGAATTCATCATCATAATGGACTTTTGAGAAAAGGTATATGGAATAGGACATAAAGCTATCACCTATTTCTAGTTGAAAATGTCTTTCAAATATTCATAAAGATTTTTATGAATTTGACAATGTCTTTTAACTCTCTTCTTTGTTTAACTTGAGCAACAATACACTAATTAGAATACAGAGTGCAGGGTCAGAGATACATTACATTTTCCAATATCGGTGCCTCGTAGAGTTCAACGAACTTTTCTCTTAGTATCTTGTTCATTTCATCAACGTCGCATGCATGCGTCCAGTATGAATCATGGACCCCTGTGATAACATCGGGGTTCAATTTAGACTTCCTCGTATAGAAAAAGATGTGAATGGATGCATGCACTAAAAGTTACTACACACCTGCAAAATTCAAGCCTGCCTTTTTACAAGCAACAGCAGTCATCATCATATGGGAGCCATCCAGGGAGTGAACAAAATTTGGCGGAAATGCAGTTCTCTGCCGCTTAACCATGACCTATAATCGTGGTTTTAACATACTTGAAAGTAAGTATTACTTCAGTTTCATGCAAACAATAGATGAAGAAAGAATCATAGAACATATTGCATATCTTTTCTTCACTCAGCAACTGTAAAGGGCACAGATAAAGAAAGAAAATTACCTTGTCAGTTTCTCGTTGTAGAGTCAACACTTGAAGGGAAGTTTTGATCTGTGCATTAAATTAATTACATTAGAACGTTTGTAAAGCTGCATTCATGGTACAAAATAAAATACTTTCCATTTTAAAGTTCCATAAATGTTTTCGAAGATTACAAGATGCCGTCCTAATTGCCGGTAAGGTTGTACAACCGGGAGACCAAGAGGAGTGACCCAACACACTGGCTGATTCTCAGAAGCTATAACCTGTTCATATTCAGTCTGTCAGAATCTAGAAGTATGCTAGAAAAATTATTGGAAAATAAAAATTAAGGCAGAATGCTAAATGTATAACAAAAATTTTTCTCACACCACCTAACTCCTAGAAGTATGCATGTGAAAAGGATGTCATATAAACATATTAGTACGGAGCCACCAATTAACTAATTTCACCAGAAGCTTTCACAAATATTAGCCAATACAAAGATTTAAAATTTCCCTAAAATACTTTCCAGTTGAACGAACATAAAGTAATTAGGTTTTAAGTCCATAAATACAAGTGCCAAACTAATGAACGTTTCTTTCTATTCATTTATTCGCTACTTTTCTGACATTTTTGCACGTATCATACATTCATAAATCTGTTTGCAGAAGAGCCATTTGCGAACATCAGAACCAGAACTTATTAGCAGCACTCAAAACCGCATAAATACTAAAAGGAAACTCCAAATCAATAAATGACCAACCTTTGCACATTCACCAAGCCAACCCATGATACTTCTTGCAGCTTGAAACATCTCTCCCAAGGCAGTCAAGGTGGTCTGAAAATAGAAAAAGGATGATCATGTTAATCCTCAGCCAGACATTGATATAGGTATGCATGGGCACACAAGAAAAGTCCTCACTCTTGCTGCATAGCAAGCTGCAATAAAGAGCTGAGTTTCATCTGCAATAGCACTTCGCTCCTTCAACCTTCTCTTGATCTGGTCACGTGCACCAATATAAGTAACACCGTACACAGAGGTCATAACAGTCTGCTTCACTAGCTTCCGGTCAACCTAGAGATATGAAATAGTGAAGGTAAAATATCCGTAATAAGATGGACACAAGCATGAGCTATGAAACTTCTCACATCAGGAACTAACCACCCAGGTATACGCAATCCAATTTCTATTGGCCAATTATACAAATTACATAATTGAAGACCCCTTATTTAGTATAAATTTTATCACAGATTATCATTTTCCTCTTGTCGTACAAGTTTCAACAGAAGTAAATGAAACAAACCTGATTGATTAAAAGCCGTGCATGTAAAGCATTAGGATTTGTTGCAGGATCTTCCTGTGCATCTCTCTTCATAATATCAAGAACCCTACACCAGAATATCAAATTGATTTAGATAGGTCAATGAGAGAATATTGTTTTTCGTGAATTCAACATTCCAAGCCAATCTCTATAGAATTATTATGCGTTGCAGAATCCTGGTAAAAACAGTTATGCAATCAAGTAAAATGAGCAACCCATTCTTAGTTGGACCACATTGTTGACCAAAAAAATTGGATCTGTTAATTCATGATACAATTCTTACAAATGCATTAATGAGGATTCCTCTAAGTTACTCTTCCGTTTCACTCAAAAGGTAAATCATTTAACACAGTTTAGAGCACAAGTGTAAAGCATCCATCCCAGAATAAGGAGAGAACAAGAGAAAGGAAGTTGAATTACCGGGCAGCAATTCCTGAATATACATCAGCTGGTTTGTCTCCTGCAACAAGATTCACTGCAGCTGCTCCTATCTGAAAGCCAAAGCAGATCAATTAACATGCCAAAGAAGAAAAAAAGAAGTTATCTGTGCATATTTAAGCAAATTCACTCGATCATTTAAATATTTCATTCACTATGTATACACATTGCACATTCAGTTAACATGGAGAAATGCAGACTGCAGTAATAAAACAAATTTTAATGACTTTTCACTTGTTATGAGTAAAGAAACCCATTCCATAAACACCACATTCAAGAATCAATATGTGAAATGTATGAATGCTGTTCAACTTGGAACATGTTCTCCCCTCAACCCCTATAGATCCTTCAAATCTCTTTCCCACTATAGCCAATACCCTAAATCTAGATCAGCTCTTTCTTAAAAGTCTAATTAACATTAGAGTTAAGAGCATAATTGGATTACTAAATGAGTCAATAGTTAATGCTTTCTGTGTTTGGTAAAAGGAAAACAACTCAAGACATCCTATTTTGTTAAGGCTAGATCAAAACATCCATATGAAACACGAAGAGAAAAGTGCATTACCTTGTCCCTTCCCAGGGCAGCATAGTGTTGTAAACCATTGCATGAACCATCCTTGCAGTAGATCATGACATAAAAACCAAATATTATGATTCAGACAACTGAAAAACGATGAAAACCTCAAAGCAGGGTTCAACGAAATGACTGTCAACACCACACAAAAAAGCTAACAGAGAAATAGTAAATTCAGTATCTACTTTTTCAATTTCGCTAGGGAAAAGTACCTGGTGGACGGGCATGTGTGAAATGGTCGTCTCTGGAGCAGAGCTTCTCAAGGCTTCAGAGAGATTAATACATGCTGCCAAGCATTGGAAAGGGTCCTCTGCATTCAACCACCAGCGCTTTCCTTCAAGAGGTTTGTCTGCTGAATCAAAGATATCGTCCAAATGAGACTCGGTAAATTCTACTCGACCCTCATAGGACAACTTGTCCACTCCTCCAGCATATAAATTTGCCAAATGTATCTTCAGCCAACGTAAGCCTGACTTCCCAAGGAGGCGTCCCTCAGCAAACTCCAACACACCTCGACATAGATCAGAGCCAAGATGATTTAGATATGGATGCATAGGATATGCCCGGCCTCGAAAATCAAGGTTGTGCGGGTAGTAAAAGCCAGCCTCATCTTTCATCTTTCGAGCCACCTATCTCCATCAGAAAATAATGTTAACATCAATATATAATTACATGATATGACACAAAGTAGATGTCACTGATTAAGGCATCTTCTTACAGCAAGTTTAAGTTCAATATCACACCGCTGTGAATGCCTTTCATCGTTCTGCTTTTTAACAGCCCGTACCTTCCACTTCCATTTCCGAATTTCTGCTTCATCTTCTGTATCAGGCTCCTCAGGCAGAGGAACCTATTCAAAAATTAAAATAAAAGGTGATGGCATATCACTAAATTGAAACACAAGAAAGATCATTAACATGAACAAAAAAGAACATGAACCAGAGAAGGAATCAAATTCTACTTATTTTGGATGTACCCACATCTTCACGGTCAACCAAGTCTGCGATACGGCCTCCATTAGACCATATTCTGTCCACTACACCGAGAACCCTTTTATTTATCCTCCATTTGGTATTCCCTAGTGTATCCAGAGCCTGATACACAAGAAAAAAAAAGAATCATCGTAACAAGAGGCTATATTGAACAGTGATGAAAATTATGCATGGCAAGAATTTATCCAATCTGTTCTCATTTTAAAAGAAAATATGCAAATAATCAGTTGGTGACATTTGAAAGTGACAAAATAGAGATATAAATATAGATCTCAAGGTTTTCAAACCTCAAAAACAGGCTCTAATTGTTGCTTTGGTGTTCTTTTAACAGTTACACGCTGTTGTTTTGCTCCATGTGTCCGCATGACATAAGATGGTAAAAACAAATATGCACCTTGGTCATACCTGCCCAAATATCACAGAATTTATCAATGAGCGAATAGGAACAAAACAAGTGAGTATATATATATAGCTCTTCCAAGCTGAGATATGAAGATATTTACATAAGCTGGAATAAGTTTGAATGACGTTGTCGATATATCCGAATGATTAGGGGGGAAATAATGGAAGAGGAAAATAAACTGTACAAAGAACCTTGAGTACATACCCTGTCCAGTTTTTAGGAGGTACTAACATCGGCATATAAGGAATGACCATGTGTTTAGCCTGGTTGCACAAGCATATATTAGTTCATCCAAATGCAAATACTTTCAAGAATAGAATTTTATTCAAGGGGGATATTGTTTATGAACAAAATGCTAGTTAAGCGCATTTGTTAAAGACTACTTACAGTTTTCTCAAGTCCTTTGTGAACTAATGGATCACATTCAATGACACCATATCTTCTACTGCCTTTGCTGGAGAAGGATATAAACACAAAAAGTAAATAATCTATTTTGAGTTATGAATGAATGAGGAAGAAGTCAAAGTGAGAAAAAGCAGATGAATATTGATCAACTTACTTTCCATCTTTGCCGACAGTTTTTAGAACATGTACAAATGCAGGACGAATATCGGGTGGGGCATCTCCTAAGTGATCAACTGGTGGTTGTATGTAGGCATTTTCCATCAATAACTGAATCAGACGGCAGCCAACCTAAAATGGGCAAAACCATTATATAACATTATGTACACAACAAGAACCACAACAGATTTTTGTCAACTGCAAAAATCACATACCTTAACATGTGCCTCCTGACCCCAAGGCTTTGAACTATCATGCCCCTTCACTATTTCCCTTACCTGATGCACCTTTTGCTTTTTCATCAAATGAGTCACCTTTTTCCTCACCTTTTCCTGGTTTTTAGTCAGTTTATCTTGTTCATTGGTCTCAGGTTCAGATTCAGAGCCTTTTTTTTTGTTAGTCTTCTCCAAGAACTTCTGTATCCTGGCCTGATCCACACAGGAAACAGTCATAAACAAGTTCTCGTCAACAAATAGTAAATGCCCCTTGAGAATAAGGCACAAACTTGTGAAATAAATTCTAAATAGACACCTCTATCTTGAGTCATTCAGAAAAAAAAACACAAGTGAAAAAATGCTAACCTCAGAACTTATTTTCATCCCCAACTTTCTTTAACAATAATCAATTCTTCTAATAAAAAACCTTAAAAGGGAAAATAATCCAAAGTACATTTTGCCTTTTGGATACGTGTTTTTTTTTCCACCATGCTTAAAGTTGCCTGAATCTATTTCATCCAGAAATTCGTAATTTCTATCCTGTGAAGCAGAAAACAGAATTCTGGTAATAATCTCCACTCCAACTTCGTTCGGAAAGCACACTGTCCTACTCCTATTAAAGAAAAACTATTTCTATATTACTAATTACCATTTTAACATTTAGAAATAGTCCCACCAATCACAAGACTGAATATTTCACAAAGTTCTACTTTACTAACACATGGATGCTTTCAGAAATATAATACCATAAACACCAGCAACAATTTTATAAATTTATATAGATCATGTTATCAACTAATAAACTTCAACAAAAGCTCATAGTTTTCTTAAATTCGTCCACCACGGTTTAACACACACACAGATATATATATATATATATATATATATATATACCAGATTGTTGTGCTCAGAAAACAATGTCACTGGCTTGAATAATTATTATTATAATGTATAACCCCCTCACCTCATGTTCAATGGCTTCACCAATCTGGCAAGCAGCTTGGACGACTTTAATGCCCCCAGTTCCACCAGTACTAGTCATCAATAACCCCATTAATTTGTGCATGGTAACAACCGCCATCATATCGGCAGACAACTGATTAAAATAAGCAGCATGGCTTATCCTCAAATTCCCCTTGCACGCATCTTGCTCAGCAGCAATAGCATCTCTCAAAGGCTCAAACCAACCGAGAAACAATGACTTAACATAAGGCAAATTCGGAGCAAGCTTTTGCTCACACATATCCGCTAGTAATTCTTGATACTCTTTAGCCGCCTCTTCCCATGCCTCGGTCTCAATCTTTATCTGCCTCCTCTTCAACGTATTGTACTTTCCCACCCCCATTCCTCCTACCATCGTTTTCGGTTGCTTCGGAAAACACTGGCTTTTCTCTTCTTTGATTATTGCCTCCACTAATTCATTGATTTCTTCAGACCCCGAAAGGTCCTCATCATTAGAAACAATAGCCTCAGCAGAACTTGCATACCCTTTCAAACTCCAGAATTTCCCAGAACAGCTTAAAGGTTTACCTGGTTGAGAGAAACCGAATCTGCCCACGCCATCCTTTTGCGAAGAGAATACACCTTTTGCTCGAAAACCCAGAACCGGGGACCAATACAAACCATCGCTTATGACCTTGGAAGGTCTGGATTTATAGATAAAAGCAGGACCCTCACAAGACTCTGTAGACGAACATGAAGGAAGCGATGAAGCATATGATTTTGGGACAACTTTAAACTTCTGTGTGTTGTAGGAAGCTTGTTTAACTAAGCTTCTCCACATGCTTGAGCTATGTTTGTTCTCGTATACAACAAATTCCTCCAATTCAAAGCTTTCTCCAGGACTTTACCTTTTTGGAACCAAAATGTATGAAATAAGAGGGAAAATCTTCAGAGGGTTCAAGGAAGGAAGAGAATGGAAGAATGCGAGATTCGAGAAGTAGGAAAGCGTGAGAGTTCTTAGAAAAAGATATGTGGAGGGGTGCTTTTTGTTCGTGGAGATAGCCGCCTCTAAACCCTCCTAAAAACCTATGTTTTCTCTGAATTTGTTATAAATATGCTAACTCGGGTTTAATAACCCACCCGTTTTAAGATTTGGGCTAAGCCCGGATCCTTCAAAAAGGAGCCCAACACTTATTTAACGGGTCATACCTCGAACTATAAAATTTCATGGGATCAATGACTCGCTCATGGCCTGTGTTATATCTGGAAAAAAATATTTTTTTCATATTTTTTTTTATTATTGTCGCAACCGTCTTTCGATTGGGCCCGGAATTGGGCTTCGACTTGGATTAAACGAATTGGAGTCGCCACCGACCACTTTAAAACGAATTTAGGTGGGTCGGACACCATCTTACCTGATCTGCGTTATACCAGAAACGTATCGGGTTCGGGAGTCGGTTACGGTCAAGGAAGGATTAGCACCCTTGAACCGCCCTTTCGGTACCAATTAATTCACCGGTTGTCTTTAATTGCGAAAATTGAAATTTAAATTAAAATTTAAAATATTCGATTCGAATTACTTACCTTTAATTGATCGATGTTACTACTAAAAATATTCAAAAAAGAAATATAAAAAAAATAATGATAATTAATTAATAAGCAAATCAAAGGAAAAAAAATATTAGAATAAAAATGTGACAAAAGAAGCAAATGTTAGATTTCAAAAAAAAAATGAAAACAATATGTAAAAATAATAATAATAATAATAAACATAATAAAAAGAGAAGGAAAGCAATAATAATAATGATAAGAAATAAATCAAAAATAAAATAAAATAAAATAAAATGAAAAACGGGATAAAAATGTTAACAGAGACTAAAATTAAATAACTTAAAATATTATGACCAACATGAAACATATGCAATTATGATAAAATAAACCACTAGTGACAGAAATATAACTATTGAAAGATGCACACCTGAAATAGAAAATTAAAACTTCATTCAGTGATTAAACAAAAACATTACAGGGAATGAAGGACCAAATGTGCAGTTTTCCCCCAAATTCCTGAAAACACGGGTGGTAGAGGCCAAACGGCGTCGTTTCGTTTGGTAGCAAAACGGCACCGTTTTTTGTTCAAATATTTAAGCTCGAAAAGGCTTTTTCCTTTACATTCTCCTCATTTCTTCTTTGCTTCCAGAAAAGAGAAGGGGAGAGAGAGTTCAGACTCTCTCAACTTCCCCTCGTCGGGGAAGAGAACCAAAGCGGAGCTACGGCGGCGCACGGCGACGCCGGTGGCCGGAACTAACCCAAACGCACCCAAAATACGCCCTCTCTCACCCTTGACCTGAAAACCAAGTTAGTTTCGCCAAAAAACGTCCCTAGACGTGTAGATCTAGGAAATACCTTTTCGGAAAAAACCCGCGCCGCCGGTGACTTTTGGCGTTCCCGCTGCTTCGCACGGTGGTGATCTCTCTTTTTCTCGCTCTGGTTTTATTTTGGTTTATTTTGATGATTATGTGTTGATCTCTCGATGATGGGTATGATGTTTTGTTTACTGTTTTCTGGTTATGGGCCTCGGTTGTATTGGCTCGTTGTTTGCTTGATTGACTAGCTGGTTCTGTTGGTTTATTGTGTTGCTCCGTCCTTGGTTCTCGGTCGTTTCGACTGTTCTGGGTGTACTCACAGTGGCTTGATGATGATCTGGTTCGTGGGTTGTGTATTGTGGTTCTTGGTTCTCGATGACTCTCTGTTGTGTGGGTATTTTCTGTTGGCTGTGTTTCCTCCTCTTGGTTTACTGTACTGTTGATGTCCTCTTGGTGATGGTCGGTTTACTGTTTGGTTGTTCCCTCCCTGAGTACCGTGGCTTGGTGGATATTTATACCCACCACTGATGCTATCTGTTCCGCCCTCCACGGGCTATTTCCGGTGATGACGGGGTCGTTCCCGTACCTTTCGGCCCTATCATTGCTTCACGTGGCCGGGAATCTCGGGATGGTGCAGTCTCGGTTTTCCCGGCCGGCCGGTTCTCCTCTTTGACTGGGTAACTCCCCATGCGGCGCCTGTTGCTTGGATGTATAAACCCTAATTTATAGGGTTTGGGCTAGTTCAGGCCCCAAACATATTGGACCCGAACAGTGGACTTCTCTTAGACCCAATCTTGGACCTGGACCACAAAACATAATAAATGAAATTAAATGAATAAAATGAAAAAAAATAATAAAAATAAAAATACTAATAATAATATAGACTATATAATATATATATCTCAAAAAATATTTTTTAAACTATATATTATATTTAAAAACGTTTTCAAAACTATATACCATATAGTTTTCAAAAATGATTTTAAAAATATTATATAAGTTTTCCAAAATATTTTTAAAACTATATATTATATAAATTTTTCAAAAATGTTTTTTTTAAACTATGCATTATATTTTCAAAATGATTTCAAAAATATATGTTATATATTTTTCAAAATGTTTTAAAACTTATATATTGTATATAAGTTTTCAAAAACGTTTTAAAAAAACTATATTATATATATATTTTCGGAAACCGTTTTTTGAAAACTATATGTTATATTTTGCAAAAACACTTTCAAAAATTATACTATATTATCGTATATATGCCTATAATAAATAAAAATAAAAAACTCAAATTCGGGTGAAAATGAGTGTCTACAGTTGCCCCTCTTTGTCCTTTTTCGTGGAACGAAAAATAGGACAAAGATAAAAAGACACAAATTTTCGCTCGATAGAGTTGAAGAATAACTCCCTGTCGAATTGAGCTGCGGATGACCCCTCCATCGCGAAGTCGAGTCCATCTCGAAATAATATGGAATTGAAACCGTAGTTCGAAATTTGAATCGGGATGTGGCTTCTTGTTGCCCAATTGTAGTCAACTTCGGTCTTCTTCTCGGTTTAAAGACCTTGGTTAAAAAATTTGGCTGTAAAGTAGTTCTCTGACTCCACCATGTGTTTGATAGGCCCTCGAGCTGAATGAAACCGAACTCGAAAGGTCTTCGTTGACATATAGCTTTTCTCGACTTAAGCTATGATGCCGGAAAACAGTTTCTTGCCACTAAGGCACGGTTAACCAGGTCTTCTTCTCGACTTGAAAACCTCGATTGCAGTCGAACAATAGTGTGATTGAGGTGCCATCGAGCTGATTGGAATCGAACTCGACAATTTTTTGACATATAGCTCTTCTTGCCTTGAGCTAAACTTGGTTTGCCTCTGAGCTGAGTGTAATCGAACTAGAAGGTCTTCGGTTGACAGATAACCCTTCTCGACTTAAGTTATGCTGCAAATGATGTGCCCTCGAAGCTGAGTGTAATCGAACTCGAAGGTCTTTGGCAGATAGCCCTTCTCGACTTAAGCTATGCTGCAAATGATATGCCTTGGAGCTGAGCGGAGTCGAACTCGAAGGTCTTTGGCAGATAGCCTTTCTCGACTTAAGCTATGCTGCAAATGATGTGCCTTGGAGCTGAGCGTAGTCGAACTCGAAGGTCTTTGGTCGGCACGATTCCCTTCGTCGTGAAGTTGAAACCGTGGAAATTGTTTATTGACAACCAGCGGTCCCTTCGTCGTGAAGTTGAACTTGCGTTGTCTGAGTCCAATATCCTTCGTTGTGAAGTTGAAATTGGGAAATTGTTTATTGACAACCAACGGTCCCTTCGTCGTGAAGTTGAACTTGCGTTGTCTGGAGTCCAATATCCTTCGTTGTGAAGTTGAAATTGAGAAATTGTTTATTGACAACCAGCGGTCCCTTCGTCGTGAAGTTGAACTTGCGTTGTCTGGAGTCCAATATCCTTCGTTGCGAAGTTGAAATTGGGAAATTGTTTATTGACAACCAGCGGTCCCTTCGTCGTGAAGTTGAACTTGCGTTGTCTGGAGTCCAATATCCTTCGTTGCGAAGTTGAAATTGGGAAATTGTTTATTGACAACCAGCGGTCCCTTCTTCGTGAAGTTGAACTTGCGTTGTCTGGAGTCCAATATCCTTCTTTGCGAAGTTGAAATTGGGAAATTGTTTATTGACAACCAGCGGTCCCTTCGTCGTGAAGTTGAACTTGCGTTGTCTGGAGTCCAATATCCTTCGCTGTGAAGTTGAAATTGGCTCTGAAATTGGGAAATTGGAAAGTTGTTTGTTGACAGACAACTTTTCTTGACTTAAGTTGTGCTGTAAATTTCCTTTAAATGAATGATGGCCCCTTTCGCCAAATGTTGTGAGCCGGATGTCTTCCGTCGTGGAATTGAAATCTGGCTTGAAAGTGTTAACTGGAAACATGCTGCTCATGGTTGAGTTTGAGTCGAACTAGACTTGTTTTGAACTGGTTCTCGAACCTATCTGAAATTGGTTCTGAGATGTCAAGTCGGTTGAGGTGTAGCTTATTAATGCCGAGTTAAGCAACCACCATCGTTCTTTAAAGGCGCTTACAAGTCGAGTAGCCTTCATCCTGAAGTCGAAGCTTGACTCTAAAAGCTGCAAAAATTATGTATGCTAAAATGATGAATGTGATGCACCTAAGTATGTCTGAGATGCATGCAACATGAATGAGTTATGTTTTATCTCTTGGATTGGAGTCCTGTGTTTTGCCTGCCAATCTGGTTCATGGAATTGACCGTGCCCCATTTTCTTCTCGAGCTTTGGCTTTACAGACCTTTCATATTTGAGACTGTCATGTTTAAAAATGTTTTTCTCCTTTTTCTTGTTTTAGGAGGGAAAAGGATAAAAATTCTGTAAAATATTGTTTGCAATTGAATCAAATTATAAACATGAGTTCAGAGTATATCAAAGGAATCAATAGCTCTTTTAATGCTTTCAGAGTTACAGCTC